TCCTCCGTGTTTTCCAAAGCCTGGGTTTTGTGCTGGAGGGTCTCCCAGACAGGAAGAAATCAATTTTGCTGAACTGCATTCTGGTTTCCAGGCCCATCCCAACCCCAGTCCCTCGTTCCCCAAGAAGGGTTTCCTGGTCTCTGCCTCACGGGTCTGAAAGTTCCCCCCTGGCCTTCAAGATCTTTCGTGGTAACCCCCACCTCCCCGGCTCTTAAGCGTTGTCCCTTCCCGTGTCCCTCCTTATTCCATATTCCTGTCCGAGGCCATCAGAATTAAGCCCCTTTGTGCCGAGCTAGGTCCATTAAATAGAAAATCGTCCTCATCTTGAACATTGGAAGGGCAGTAAATCTGAAAAATTCACAACGCAAAGCTTGCTGTTGCCAGGTTACTCGTTACAACAGGGAATCCTCCGCTCTGTTGAAAATACGGGTTTAAATGTTTAGCAATTAATTCGGTTCTTACAAGGTGATGGCTGTTAGTTAAAATAGATAATCCTTGACTTGTAAGGAGACTAATTTAAATTTTGTTAAGTAGCCAATTAGGAGGGCTTAACTCCATCTGGGGCTTTGCGTTTTCTTCAGGACAAATTCCAAACTCCTTAGGATGTAATCGTTTTTTTTTCATCCTAGCCTAATTTTTGGCCTGTCCACACTGCTCCATTCCAAGGAACTGGCGTGTGTTCACTAAAGGTGGGGCGGTGGGGAGTGGGGGGATCTGCTCGGCTGGGGCCCTGCAAGGCTGTCCCCTCCGGCTGGAATGTTCTTTGTCTCACTGGTAAATGTCTATTCATCATACAAGACAACCCTTCCCCCTCCCTTTAATTACTTCCTCCCCCTTGTGCGCCCTCAAATTCTTGTCCTTAGTCCAGGAGGATTTATTAGGGGCCTGCTTTGTGTCCGCAGTGGGGCGGGCTCCCTTAAACAAAAGTGCAGAGAAGGAGGGCTCGCCCTGGAGGTCTTACCTGTTGGGGGAGGAAGCCGACCTGGCACAAAATGGTGCCAGGGAAGAAGCATCAACCCTTTGCGCCCTTACCCACCCCACGCCACCCCACCCCACCACAGTAAGGCAAACGCCTGGCCCTGGAGGGGGGCCTCCTCGGTGCCTCGCAGGTGATCAATAAACCTTTGGTTAATGACCCACGGGATCGGATACCAGAATTCCAGCCTGTATTCTGCATCATGTGTGGTGGCTTCCCTAGTGCTGTGGCGGAGACCCCAGTGCCCAGCACGCGGTCAGATGGCCCACGGGCTCCGTAGCCGGTGGCCTGGCCGCAGCGTGGTCGCCAGCACTGGACGCTGCCGCGGCGCCGCGGTCCAGGTGGAAACGAAGCCTGCAGCGCCCCTGATGGTGGCAGCCGGGTTTGCGCGTCCATGCGCATCTCCATGGAGAGCCGGAAATCTAACCCGGACAGGATGCCTTAGTCTCCCCACGTTGCTTTTTAAATGCGTATGAGATGTATTTTAAAAGATCCTGGTGAAAAAGCTTTCCCCCTCATCCTGCCATTCCAGCCCTTGCGTTTTGATTCTGCAACATGAAATAACTAAATCGGCGTGTTGGAGGGATAATGGTGAGCGTTTCCTCCGGGCACGCGGGCTGCGGTGGGGTGTCTGGTATGCTGACCACGTCGCCCTGCTGCAAAAAAAAAAAAAAAGAAAGAAAAAGAAAACCGTGTGCGGTGCCCAGGCGGCCGCCCCCAGCTACCCGCTGGGAGCCAGACTTTCTCCAAGTTTAGCACTTGATACGCAGCAGCATTTGCCCATGCGGGCAAGTGGTAGGTCCCCTAGAACTTGTTCCCTAGATGCGGCTGTGCGTTCGGTGGTTGCGGGCATTTAGAAATTCCCGGAGGGGTTGGGCACTCTGGGATAACTGCCTCGGAAATGCGGACCTGTCCTATTTAAGAACCCCCGTGGGTACCATGGTGGCTTCGCTGAGCCTCGGTGTCCTGAGCGCGGGCAAACCTGAGAGCGGGGCGCCCTTGGGTGCGAGTACTCCTAAGTCGGGGCATCCTTGAGCCTGTGTACCCACAGCATGGGTAACTCTGTGTGCGGGGCGCCCTGGGCGGCGGTAATCCCGAGAGCGGGGCACCTCTGGGCCCGCCAAAGGTGGAGTACCCTGCGCCTGGGACCCCTGTGCCAGGCACACCGTCAGCCGGGCACCCCCCAATCCCCCTGGCCGGGCAGTCTGTGGGTGGTCTAAGCGGCGGGGTAAGGAGAGAATGGATTCTCTTGGGGGTCTCAGGGGTCTGTCATCTTTCCCCATGGCCCTACGCGCCAAAAGAGTGTATTTGCCGCAG